AAATAAAGTAAAAAACACCTGGGATTTGTAAAAATAGATAAAAATTGTTATCTCTGAAAACAAAAAACTGATCACCTATTGCTAAAACCAGAGAGAAGTTTATATTAATAAAAAGATATTGGAGATAAACAAAAGAAAGCAACATTATTCAAATATTTAATCATTTTTCATCCCCGATATAAGCAATCTAAACACTTGAAAAGAATAGGAAGATACTTTGTTCATCTTGTTCACACTGACTTTTATGGCTCAAGAGCCCTGCTTGTACACACTTGAAATTTGGACAACGCTGAACTTCTGCTGGACTTCTTGTTCTCTTTTATTTTTTATTTTTCTTTTTAAATAATTTACACATTATCCCACCTTCCAATAAGAATATCTTCCAACAGAATACTGTGCTGGAGAAAGCTAATTGTGTAGAAAAAAATTATAATCAAAAGTTTTGAAAATACAGAGTAAGGTATTACCTATTCTGGCTTGTCTCCATGCTACCAATTAACACGTACTGTTTTTTTGTGGTACTGGATTTCATTTGTTTTACTCCGTTTTCAGCCAGAGGAAAAAAAATAGATTGTGCAATTGTCTGGTTTTAAGTAGATTAAATAATTTGTTCACTAGTGTTTTACTCAGGTACTTGGGAACATGAGAAAGGTGAAACTCAATTTTTACATAAAAAATTAAGACAAGTATATTGGTTCACGTACGTTTCTTCCATTACTAAAATGTTGTATGTTTTGTCACCTCATTTTCTTGCTCTTTCAGTTTTGAGTGGTTATAAATATCCCACATTTATAGCTGTAGTCTCAGAGTTATTTCTCTATATTAAATACCTGATAATTATGAATTCTTGACTTCCATACAATTATGTACAGTTGAGTAAGTCATATGTTCAAGTAATAAAAACACACAATAAAACCTGGGAACCCAAGAAAGATCTCTCCACTCCACGATTAGTATGTGCTTTCCAGACTGAGAGGGGATGTTCCATTTATAACTCTCATTTGTTTCCTACCATTGTGGCCAAGTTTCCACTTATTATATGTCTCCTTGCCTTAATATTAACTTCCAGTTTAGAGCACTGTAAACTGTTTCTCTAGCCCTAAATTAAAGCAAATGATATCCACTCCACATCCACCACCAATTTTACTAGAAGCCACTTCAAAGATTCCATTTTAAAAAATGAAGTATGGCCACTGCTTCCCGAAGCCAAGGTTAGCCCCGTTCATAATGAAGTGGAACTTTCTCTGATTTCCCTTCTATTTAAACACCGGCAGTTTTTTCCAAGACATTTTCTCTCCTCCACTAAAGGTAAAGCTGGTCATTTTGTTGTTGTGGCTGTTGTTACTGTGGAGGGGAGGGGAGAGGAGAAAAGAACCCTGGAGAACTCAGCCTTAGTGCTTCCAGGGACCAGCACGCTTGTGTTTTCAGGGACAGTCCAGCACCACATCCACCTCTGTTTATGAACATACAAGTTCCAAAACATTAAAGATGGTCTCAGCTACACTCAGTTTCAAAGAGAGCAGCAGTGTATATTTCTTTCTTATGTTGTCACTGACTTATCAAACTGTATAGAAATGGATGACAAAAGAGACAAAAGAACTTTACAAGGTCAACTTTTAGCTTCCTCAGCAGGTCTCTGCTTTTGACCATTTCTTCACTTGTTCATTTAAACTTGCCTCCGCAGCTTTACATCATGTTGCTTCTTAGATAAACCACTGTTACCCTCTTCTTTACCTACTTATACTGTGACTACAACTTAAGCTCTGGGGCAATGTAAGACCAGCTGGAAGTACACTCTTGCTTTCCCAGGCCCCCGGCCCCCATTTTGCTGTCCTACCTCCCATAGTTACCTGGTGCTTGTGCACATAGTACGAGACTAGAAATCACAGTTATAGACACCTGCAGATACATTTCCTACCAACTGCCACAGGAGCTGATGAGAATGCCCACCGTCTTGAGGTGACTGGGTGGCTCAGTCGGTTAAGGGTCTGCCTTCGGCTCAGGTCATGATCCCAGGGTCCTGGGATCTAGTTCCATATTGGGCTCTCTGCTCAGTGGGGAGTCTTCTTGCCCCCCTACCTCTGTCCGGCTGGGCTCACTCTCTCTAGGTCACACTCTCTCTCTCTCTCTCAAATAAATAAATAAAATTAAAAAAAAAAAAGAATACCCACCTTCTTAGCCCATTCCCTCCCTTGACACACACAACACACATACACACATATCCCAAATAGTTCATCTTAAGTTGAAGATGTTTTCTTTCAGAAAAGACCTGAAGGTGTCACTAACCCACAACCATTTAAAGATAATTTATCTGCCTGATTCTTGCATTCTGCAGGTGATGTGAATTCGAACCCTGCATCCACATGGGGGGTTGACAAAAAGGCTATTAAGTATAAAGAGGGACTAGGTGTTTCTCCTCTATACATAGTCAAAGCCATAATGAATACTCTTGCCTTCTCCCCTGATGTGAGGTGGAATTTTTGCTGGTTCGGCCTTTGAGGGTATGGCATTTTAGAGGGATCTCTCCATCTTATACAGGTTCCCATCCATGCTCCCTATATCTTACTTGGGCCCAGGGTTGTTTCCTGACCCTTAATATGGCTGTTGTAGGATGAGAAAATGCCCCAGGATTTTGGTCCTCACTTCTTTCCAAATAGACACTCTGCATTTCAACTAATTCAGCATCTGTCATAAAGCTTAGCTTCTCTCCTGAATATATTTGTCTTCTCTCAGTTCCTAGGACATAATCCTCCCCTCTCCCAAGTACTTTTGACCAAGTGGTGTTTCATCTGCTCGAAGTTGATGTTCCCACCAAGGATGTTCCTGCATAGCATACAATATGACACCCCCAGTGTGTACCCACTACAGCTCCAGCAATTTTGCCAAGGCATCCTGGACACAAAGCAACCTGAGACATCTCCTGCCTGTGCCCATGCTGCCAGGGCACCTCCTGTATGAAGCACCCAACCCAATTCTATCCCAGTTCCAGCCAGAGAGCCAAAGCCTCCAGGCACATGCAGTCTACAGAGGGGATGTTCCTATACAAGGCCACTCCTTTAAGACTGGGACAGGTAGCTGTTTCACCTAACTGATAGAAACAAACACAGAAAGTCAAACAAAATTAGAAGTCAATGAATATGCTTCAAGCAAAAGAACAAGATAAAGCTTAAAAAAAAAAAACTAAATGAAACAGAGATAAGCAATCTAACTGACAAAGGGTTCAAAATTATTGTTATAAAGAAGCCCACTGGACTTGAGAGTAGATAAACTCAGTGAGAACTTCAACAGAAAAATTTTTAAAGAGGAACCAGTTAAAGTTGAGCAATACAATAACTGAAATGAAAAATGCACTATCAACAGTAGATTAGCAGATGCAAAAGAATGGATCAGCAATCTGGAAGAAAGGGTAATGGAAAGCACCCAAGATGAACAACAAAAACAAAATTTTTTTTAAACAAGAATAGATTAAGGAAACTGAAACAACATCAAGTGTGTTAACATTCAAAACATAGGGATCTCAGAAGAAGAAGTGAGAGAGAAAGGCACAGAAAAATTACTAAAGAAATAAGAGCTGAAAATTTCCCTAAGTTGGGGAATGAAAAAGACAGCCAGTTCCAGGAAGAACAAAAAGCCACTAATAGGATGAACCCAAGAAGGTCCACACCAAGACACAGAATAATTAAAATGTCAACAATTAAAGAGAAAATCTCAAAAGCACCAAAAGAAAAGCAACTAATTACATACAAGGGAAATTCATAAAGTTATCAGCTGATTTTTCAGCAGAAACTTTTCAGGCCAGAGCAAAGTGGCAAGATATACTCAGAGTACTATAAAGAAAAAAAAACCTACAACTAAGAATACTCTACATGGCAAGATTATTTCAGAATTGAAGGAGAGAGTGTTTCCCATACAAATAAAAGTTAAAGTTCATCACCTTTAAGCCATCCTTATTAAAAGTGTTAAAGGGACTTCTTTAAATGGAAAAGGCATTATTAATGGAAAAAATTGCACTAGTAAAAGCAAACATACAAATATAAAAAGGTAGTAAATCAATCAATCAAGTATAAAGCTAGTATGAAGATTAAAAAAAGGAAAATCAATTCTGTTTAAAATATTAAGGGATTCACAAAATCAAAAGATAGAAAATAGACATCATATACATAAAACATGGAGAGGGAGGAATAAAAATGTAGTTCTTTTACATGTGTTCTAACTTAAGCAACCATCAACTTAATATTAACTTCTATACACTTAGGATGTTTAATATGAACCACATGGTAAACACAACCCAAAGACCTATAATAGATTCACAAAATTAAAGACAAAGCTACTCAAGCATAACACTAAGGAAAATCACTCATCAAAAGGGAAGAGAGCAAGAGAAGGAAGAAGCATAGAAGAACTACAAAAACAACCAGAGAACAATTAACAAAATAACAAAAGGCATAAACCTATCAATAATTAAATATAAATACTATAAATGTTCCATCAAAAGACATAGGGTGACTGAATGAATAAAAAAAGCAAGCCCCAGCTCTAAGATGCCTATAAGAGATAACTTCAGACCTAAACATATATAGAGAGAGAGACTAAAAGTGAAGGGATGGAAAAGACATACCATGCAAATGGAAACAAAAAGCTAGGATAGCAATATTATGTAACACAAAATAGACTTTAGAACAAAGATTATAACAAGAGACAAAAAGGACATTACATAATGATAAAGGAATCAATCCAAGAACAGGATATAACAATTGTAAATATCTATGCACCCAACCACAGGAGCAACTAAATATATAGAACAAATATTAACAGACATAAAGGGAGGAATTGACAGTAATACAATAATAGTAGGGAAATGGAACAGCTCATTTACATCAATGGGTGGATCATCCAGACAGAAAATCAATAAGGAAATGCTGGCTTTAAACAACACATTAGACCGGATGGACTTAACAGATATATACAGAAATTCCATCCAAAAATGGTAGAATACACATTCAAGTGTAGATGGAACATTCTCCAGAAGAGATTACCTGTTAGGACACAAAACATGTCTCAATAAATTTAACAAGACTGACATTATATCAAGGATCTTTTCCAAACATGACAGGATGAAATTAGAAATAAATTACAAGAAAAAAAACAAACAAACAAGTGGATGCCAAACAACATGCTAGTAAACAACCACTGGGTCTCCAAAGAAATCAAAGAGCAAATCAAAAAATACATGGGGACAATTGAAGACAGAAACACATTGGATCAAAATCTTTGGGACATAGCAAAAGCAGTTTTAAGAGGGAAGTTGAGAGAGGAAAAAAGCCTATCTCAAGAAACCACAAAAATCTCAAAAAAAAAAAAAACCAATCTAATGTTATGCCTAAAGAAACTAGAAAAAGAACAAAGCCCAAAGTTAGTAAAAGGAAGTAATAAAGATGAGAGTGAAATAAATGAAATAGAGACTAAAAATAGAGTAGAAAAGATTATCAAAATTAAAATCAGGGACTTTGAAAAGGTAAACAAAATTGACAGCCAGATTCATCAAGATAAAAAAAAAAAAAGAGAGGGGACACAAATGAATAAAATCAGAAATGAAAGAGGAGAAATAGGGGGGTGGAGCAAGATGGCGGAGGAATAGGAGACCTGGATTTCGTCTGGTCTCAGGAATTCAGCTGAATAGGGATCAAACCATTCTGAACACCTACGACCTCAACAGGAGATTGAAGATAAGAATAGTAACAACACTCTGAACAGAAAAGCGACCACTTTCTGGAAGGTAGGACGTGCGGAGAAGTGAATCCGAGGCGATATTCGGGAGGATAGATAGTGGGGGAGGGGGCCTCCGTCGGCCACTCCTGGCAAGTGCTAGAGCCGCGGAGCACAAAATCGGAACTTTTAGAAGTTGGCTCCACTAAGGGACATCGCTCCAGTGGCTAAGCTGGGGGTGGAACCGTCGCGGGACAGTGTGGTCTCAGGACCCTCGGGGTCACAGAAAGACTGGGGGTGCCTGAGTGCGGCAGAACTCCCAGGGATCGGAGCGGGGAAGCCGGCTGCAGAGACGGAGCCGAGGTGCGGGCTCTCAGCTCGGGGTGGCCATAAACTGTGATCGCCGCACAGTCAGGCCACTGCTCCTCCAGCAGGGACCCAACAAGCAGCAGATCCGGGGAGACTCCCCTTCCTCCCCTGGGAGGAGCGGTGCAGGAGCACCGCAGGGATCTGCTGGGTTTGGAGACTCCACACGGGGTCAGGAGCCAGAGATAGAAACACTCTGTCACAGGCCGGGTGAGCACGGAGTGCGGCCGGAGACCGGGGACACGGGAGTGACTGCTTTTCTCTGGGGGCGCACTGAGGAGCAGGGCCCCGAGTTCTCAGCTCCTCCAAGTGGAGATTGGGAGGCCACCATTTTCACTCTGGTCCTCCAAAGCTGTACCGAGAGCTTTCAGGGAACAAAAGCTCCCGAGAGCAAACCCGAGCAGATTGCTTAGCCCGGACGGACAAGGGCGGGGCAGTTCCGCCTCCGGCAAAGACATTT